CAGCACACAATATATATTGTGTCAAGAATGTAGTGCACAGCTAGTATCAATAAAGAAAGTATAGTAGTAGCACAGTTTAACTACATAATAATAAACAGCCATAGAAGAACGAATAACACGCGAAAACTCTATGAATGAGCTTGGTCAAACGTTCGACTTCAACAAACCAGAAGAAACGTAAGGATAGCTTTACTATAATAAAGGTACTAACAAGCGCTTCGTACATTACATTACATTCCCCCATTTTTTCTTTGAAGTAAGTTAGTTAAAATGTGGTTCTTTTTCACCGAATCATTTATTTTTAATCTATTTTAAATTCATAGCTTTTTTCTTTATTTTCATTACAAAGGGAAATTTATAGATAAATGATCTGTGCTTTATCTTTTTAGTCCAGACAAATTGATCTGAGAATTAGATAAAGTTAAGCACTCCGATGCAGCATGATTGAGCGACATGTTGCTTCGACTGCAGTCAAGTTATCATATCGTTTCGATCTATGCCCTTAACGGAAATAAACCAGTTAATAAGACCCAAGCTGTGCTAGAGAGCTACTGATATTTCTATGATGACTCTGTAGCCAAACCAGATATGATAAAAGTTGCTCGAAAAAAAGGAAAAAAAATAGTTATTTAGTCAGATCGCTTAGAATAAAAGGTAACGATTTGACATATTTTATTCCATTTTAGTGGGAAAAAATAATTTAATCTTTTCAGTTATATAATAAAATACGGATAATTTTAGATTTTGGTGTTTCGGTCATTATCGTTGGGAAAGAATGGCTCAGTAGGTTATTGCTCAATTATGAGCGCCGATGCTGAGGTCCGATTCCCCGCAGGAGTAAACCTGTCGAAAAATTCGGGTGATGCTGGCAGTTCAACTGTGTTTCTATCGTCAAGAGACTCCCTGGCGTATTGCCCAATGCGACAAGCCAGTGGAGTGAGTTTAACCAGTAATGGTGAGGATTCTTTAAAAAAAAAATATAATAAGATGTATATATTTTTAGAATAAAAAAAAAAAAGCAAAAACAATTTTTCTTCAATTTGTTTTTCATTTTCGAACCAAATCTCTTTAGTGAATAGCTGGTAATAACTAGTATTTTATATAATTTTTCAACGAACTTCAAATCGGTTCAATTAGGAATAACCGCGAAACATACTTGTCTTCCTGAGAGAAGGGGGAAAATAGCCGGGTGGATGTTGATTTAACCGGAAATGGTTCGTGAGCGTTCATTTATTTATTTATTTTACGAAGGATTATATGGTTTTATCAGAAAAATTTTTCTTTAATTTTTACGGCAAAACTTGGCATTTTTCGTCGGATTATTTCTAAATTATTGTTGAAAATATTTTGTTCTAATATGAATGTACTTCAATAAACAAAACTTTTTTATACTTTTTTATTCCTTTCATTGATTTGTTTGAAAAAAAATGAAATTTTAAATTACAATCTTATAATTTTTAAAATTATTGGAAATATCGCTGAAAAATCTTCTATTTTGCATCTGTTGTACTATTTCCAGTACATTATTAATATTTTATTTCCTGAATCTTTAAGTCTTTTTTTCCTTAAAGCCCTCATTTGTAGTTTGATTGACCTATCAACTGTTTGGACGAAAATCACTTGGAAATGGAAATCGAAAGATAAACAGGCCTACAGCATCGCCCGTAAAACAACGAAAAGTTTCTTTTCTACACTTATAGTATGGGTTTATCGATCAAATGTGGTTTTAAGATATTTTTAAAGAGCTGTTACCATTTTTGGTTAGGGTCTTATTTGAACTAATTTTTGCAAAAAAGCGATAAGATCATAAGTGAATCACCAGCACCATCTTGTTTTGAGGTGTTCAGATTTGGCTCTTGTTTTTTAATAATCTCTTGTGCTTCTTTTAAGTGATCAAATTGCAAACAAAGTTATCTGATAAACATAAACTATTAACGAAAATAAAATTTCTTTGAAAATTCTGGAGAGACTTAGCTAATTTAATTTAGGTAAAAAATCTGAATTAATATAGAGGAATTGCCGAAAATTTTTTAGATTTAACCTTTCGAATTAAGGAGATGAATAATTTTAGATTTTGGTATTCCGGTCACTATCATTGTTTTAATTTTTTAACTTTGAATTCTCTAAATCTTGTTCAATTATAAATTGGGCCAAAAAGTTATTCGATGAAGGATTTTTAGTTCAAAATTTTCATTTCATAAATGTCATATCTTTTTTTTTCCATAACATCATAACTGTTTTTTTAAATAAAAATGAGAAATGCCTTTCATTAAAATGAAATATTTCTTCACCGTCAGAGATAATTCATAAATTACTGTTGAAAGAATTCTTTCTAATTAAGCCTTATTGTGGAACACCTAGTGCAAACTAGTAATTATTTCTCCATTCGCTATAAATCTCTTAGAATAATTATCATTTTATTACACTAGACCAGAGACTCTTAAATTTTTTACTTTAGGACCCCTTAATACCTTTAAAAATTATTATTGATCCTTAGAAGATCTGCCGCTATATCTACGGATATTTATATGTAAATAAATTGAGGAATTGAGGAATTTTTCAAATGCTTATTTATCATCCAAACATAACAATCATAGGGTGATGCTGGCGACATATATATTTTAATATAAATAGTAAATAATAATATATTTTCTATGAAAAATAGCCACACATCAATTTTGTTTTAGTATTGAGCATTACATGGTGCTCTCGTAAATGAGAATCGCAGATATAGAATTCGCGAAATTTAGGTATTGAGGCGCATCTTCCGGAAAATCCTCGTTGAATATTTCATCGGATCAGCATATGGAGGCAAGAAGTGTAGAGTGGTATGTCCTTGCTCAAAATGAAATGAAAACTCTACTCTAAATCAATTACATAATAGACATTTAGGCTTATTATCTGTTTAAGAATGTCCTAAACTTTACGCTTTGATGAGTTATAGTGAAATTCTAGTAATTTTTTTCAAGGTACTTAAATGGTAAATCTTTAGTATCTGTCATTAAAAAATCCGAACAGTGCTGGAATGCTGGCGATTCTTTTGCACTTCTATTGTCAAGTGATACCCTGGAAAAAAATTTTGGCCGTAGAACAGCCAGCAGAGCTAGTCTAAATAGAAGTGATGTGTTAAACACTTATTTTTATCCTTTGTAGTGAATTTTCATTGGATAGTGTGCTTGTTATTTTTGCAGACCGCCAGCTCTCTATGTATTTAATACTCGTCGAAACGAATAGCTTTATTTCAGCTGGTTTTAAAGTTTCACTAAAAAAAATTTGCGCACGAAAATTGCTGAAAATTGATTCTCCGGGAAATTATTAAAGTTATAGTCATAAATCACTTAATTATTTAGAAATCCGGTTTAAGTCTTCGGCAACAGACGATTTTTGATCTCAATATTTTGGTTTTTTTATGCAAAATTTTCCTTCCTACTTTATTTACTATTTAGAAAATGAATTTAATCCTCTGAAAAAAGAGGGAAAAAATTCATCAATTTGTTTTCTATAAAACACCTATCGTAGTGCCAGAAAATTTATCGTATTCTGGCATTCATTCACACCGCAGGAGGACCCACACTTCTCGAAATGTTGGGAATTAATTTCAGCTGCTTTTTATTTTATTTATTAACTTCTTTCAAATTGATTATTTCATATTAATTAATAACAATTCAATTTATCTTTCTTCCTTGCCTCATAATTTCTTTTTCTTCTTCTTGCTCACTGTTTCTGGTTTGCATTGCCTCTTACGGCAATTACGACGTAAATTCTTCGCCATGTAGTCACTTGATTATACTAGAGCAACAAATTTTAGCATCTCGCAATCCTTATAATTTTTTTTTTCGTTAAGACATCGAAAACCATTAGTCTTTCACTTGTATTGACGTTTGTTTTCCATAAATAAGAAAAAGAATTATTCTTGGAAAATAGATTCAGTTGGAATAAGGTCAAGTGGAGTCGTCAAATTATGCAGAACTATGCGACAATGGTAACACATCGTGTGGTAGCAACTGTTATACGAAAATAAGTGATTTCTTCGCAATTGATATATTGAAATAATTTTCGTCTAACATGTAGCCAATCAAAAATAATTTAATAATTCTTTTCATCGATATTGCTGAATCAACCTTTGACCCGACGAAAATAACTAGTTTAAAGATTTTGAGCAATTTTGCAATAAATTTTTAGACATTATTGCAATATGCGCAATAAATTTTTGACATTCTCCTGAGAAATCAATTTTTTAGATTTTTAAAAATTTTTTAGAATTGTTCCAAAAGGTTCCAGAACTCTTCTTTGATTTTCAGCAGAGAAATCCGCCTTCCAAGAGATCGATAAAAGTGAAAATGGGACTCCAGCACCACTCGTTTTTTTTTTAATGTATGTTTACCTGAGATAGAAATCGAATTTTAAAAATGTCCATCTTCCTCTATTAAAGAATTTGTGATCCGGATTTTAACGCATTTTTTTGTTTTTATTTCTTCTTTGTTAATTTCTTAGATTATAAATTCATAATTCGTAAAATTTCTTCCTTTTTGCCAGCCATATCCTTAAGGTACTTAAAGTACTTGTTCCCGGAATATTTTTTCAAATTTTATTACCATAATTTCAAAAATCAACTATCAGCATTAACCCTCTTCCAGTTGTCCAGTTGCATTTACCAGTCCTATTTTAGCTAATTCCGTTTACTGCCAAACATCCACTTGAAAATAAAAGAGCACGTGAAATTATATCACCATTAAGTCTTAACATAATCGCGCATTTTTTGAATTTATCTTTCGAAGATCAATATATTTAAAAACACTTGCAGTTTTCTAGAAAATAATTTTAAAAATTATTTCGTTGGGCGATATGATAACCAAACATTAAATTTATTAATGAACTTTTCTACAGAGATCGAAGCATTGTTTTTAAATGGTAAAGCTCAAAGAATTACTATAAATCAGGAGAGCTTTTATTGAATGCCTTCTATTCCGATATCCGAGAATTCATTTCACTGAATTCAAATGATGAAAGAGCTTTGTTATCGTTGTTCGAAACCAGTTTATCCAACTGATAAAGTTGGTCCTCTTAAAGATTTAACGTATTTTCATCACGGATGCTTCAAATGTTATATATGTGGTACAAGACTCGTTCTCAAAACCTACTGTAATAATCGGAATAATACTGATGATCGGGTAATTTCTTTGATGAAAATGATTTTTGTTCGACATAGAATTTTTTTTCTATTTTCTATTTTTATTTTTGTAAAAATAAATTCTATTTTGTTTTCTATTACTTTTTGTTTCTAAATCGTATTAAGACTTGAAATGCGTAAAGCTAAGTTTAGTTTTGGATTTTTAAATGATTTTTTTCTCATATGGTATTGCAGTTTTCAGGAAATCTATTGTAATAGCCATGTGCCAGTCGGTGGTCCGCATGATCCATTGCCCGCAAGAAATGGTCAGAGTAATGGTCATAAAAATGGATTTAGACGAGATGCAGGACTGAACGATTTGAAAATTGCACATGCAATCAAAGCAACACAAGTCTCAAAGCCATATCCTAAAATTAAACACGAAGGAGCGAAATATGTTGTTGTAAACTTATTTTTTATTTTTTCGTCTTGATGTTAATAGGCCAATAATTGAAAGTGAAACCCGAGTAGCTGACTTTTTTCCGGTCGTTTTCCTATTTCTAACCTTTCTTTTGCGAATTTCACTCTATTATTCATTAGATCGAGCCAAACCCCAAATGCCGAGCGCTATTAGGCAAAAAAAGAAAAGGACTTTGAGCCAACCAAAAATAATAATGGGTCACAAAATCACTATTTTTTTAGATGGCTTTTTCAAATTTACCCTTTATTTTGCTTAATTTTTTGGCTTTATCTAGCTTTAATCTCTCTCTGAAAATTTGCTAAAGGAGATCAGAAGAAGAAAAATATCCAAAAAACTGCAAAAAATTTTTAAAGGATTATGTGAGTGGCTTATATTGAAATACTAATTAATCTCTTATTTGGCAAATAATCATCGATGATTGTGATTTAATTCATGGCTTAATATTACTAAACAATTTGTCAACTTATCTTTTGTCAACCGCTTTAATAATGCAAAAATCCACTTAGGACTATGATGCCCAAACTCGGCTCGAATTAGTCCATCGACGTGATGAAGATAAATTATACGAGGCTTTTGATGAAAATAAGAAACGTGAATACGATAGATTTGAACGAGAAACAAAGGTCGAGTTTTCACGATTACCTTGTGTTGTCCCTGCATTTTTGAGTCCACTGAAACAGAAAGCAAATTTTGAAAATCTTCAGATCCTAATTATGATCCAATTTTCAAACTTGAGAAATTTGAATAAAACTGGAAATACGCAGTAAAATGAGTGCTTAAATTATTGCTTAAATTATCTACTTATATGTGCATCATAGGTCGATTTTGCCTGTTAATTAGATTAAGCCTTATTATTACAATCCTGGTAATGAAGAGGATCCACCTGTGTCTACAAATGATTCTTTGACAAAAGAATTATATCCTAGTAATCGATAATGCCAGCTAAACCAGAAATGGTACTTTAGATTTTGGACAGAACAATTTCAAATGTAATCATTATATATATATATATATATTATATTTATATTATATTTATAAATTTAGGAGGAATGGGAAAACATGTAATCATTATATATATATATTTATAAATTTAGGAGGAATGGGAAAAGGCTTTGGCAGATTTTGCCCGAAAATATGAAACTGGTCAGGTGGGTAATAAAAATAAGGAAGAATTAATAAGGCATTTAACGATAAAACGTGACAAGAAACTGGAAACTCTTCATCAGCAAAGAAGAGAACGAGAACGAATACAAACCGCGGAATTGGTCGATCGACAAGCAAAAGAAATGCTCGAACTTTTCAAACAAGCTCGAGTAATTATTCTGTCAATTTGATTTATGAAATTATTTCAAGCTTCTAAGGCCTAATGATAATCTAATTTTCTCGCTAACTGTAAGATCTTTCCGCCAATGAACCACTTAGAGATAATAGGGCCGATGAGCAACAGCACCAATAATGCTTATTTGCAATTATGGAAAATAAAAATTATAATTATAAATATGATTGATGCTGTTGACTCAGTGGTGTCACGCTTCCGGCTCCAACAAGCCAGCCAAAACAGAATTAGTAAGTTCTGTAGGAAGAAAGTATAGAGATGAATATCAATTTATAGTAGTCGTGACATGGCGGAATTTCTTTAAAATAATGAAAATCGTAATATAAAATTTTAGGAATATGATATGATGGATTCAAATAATTCAAATCCTCCATCATATCCAACAACTCCTCCACCACCAACACCACCATTATGCAGAAAACGGGATATTTATACAAACACATCAGTATTCGAAAATATTGATGAAATTGCGATAACAATGGCTCAGTCAGAAGTTACCACATTCACTGAACTTATTCGTACATTAACAATGAATGCACGTTCAGATATTGAGAAAGCTAGGTAAGCACACGAGATAATCTCCGAAGGTGGATAAGATTTTTATATTTATTTCCAAAAATTTCTCATATTTCTCAAGATTTTGTAATATTAGCGCATAAAAATTTTTGTCGAATTTTCCAACGAATTCGAGGAAGAGAAAGATGTATTGGTAGTTACTTCAAATTCATGGTTGGTGAACTAGTTTATGAAGGATTTTTTTGCTTCTCGTTTGCTAATGAAATATATGATTAATTTAACTTGTAAAGATAAAGCAAAATGAATGGTGACAAATTTTGCAATAGTGGGCTTTTTCATCCTTCAAAAATGCCTCTGCAAATATTGTCTATAATTTCAAAACATTTTATAATTTTATAATTAATGCGATACAAACTGTTATCCAACTAACAGGCTTTCTTTTGAAAATTTGTAAAAACGAAAATTAGAGTAATAGATGTTGGAGTTTAATGCAAATGGCAATGACAAAATAGTATTCTTCTCGTTCGGTAAAGGAGAGAAACTTTATCCCTCAATGATGTGTTTTCTCTTTTGCATTTCCTTTATCCTCTTATCTTCGTATTTTCTTGTGAGTAATACCCTTTATGGCGCTCTGCTCCGTCCTCCTCCTCCCATCAGCAATTGAAGAGTTAGGCGTAGATATAACCGAAAAGTATCGAATCATTTCGGAAAAATAATGCAAAGTCAAGAATAAACTTTAAAATATCGTCATAGTTTTGGAACTAATAAATATTCACAAATTATTTATAAGAAAGGAGCAAAAAAAAACAAAAAAATTTTAAAAATTATGAAAATTTTCCCTATTTTTTATCGGATAATTTCGTAAATTCAATTTAAACTTTTAGAGCTATTTATCGATGGATTACTGTAAAAAATTTAAACGTCATGCAATTCGATAATCACTTGGACAGCAATACTCCTATGGGTCTATTAAGGGGCATCAAGCATGGCACCGAAAGTTATCATGTGTTATTTAAACGACTGTGCAGGTTTATTAGACTTATTTTATATTTATACATTTTATATTTTAATTCCGATTTTTTATCAATTAAATTATTTTAAATTGATTGGTTTTCATATAATTTAAAATTTTAAGTTCACATTGAACAAAAACATTTTAAATTGAAATTTTAAATTTTAAACACCTGTGCTCTCAGTTATGCGGGTCTCCACTGTGTTGTAATAAAAGGGTACAGCAAATCTGCTGGTTATCAACCAGGATATCGTTTTGATGATAATCGTTTCCGCAATACTTGGAATGCAGTTTATTTGAGTGGATCATGGCGATTTGTACAATGTAATTGGGGTGCTCGCCATCTGGTGTAAGTCTTAAAATCACTGCTGATCGTTGGAACTTCTTTCTTGGGATTAATTTTTTGATGAATAATTGGATCATAAAATATTTTTATTTTTGTAAGAAAAAAAATTATTTGTTTGAAGGTCTCATTCTACACAATTTTCTTCTTTTCCACGTTCATAAATGAACTTTATATCTAAATCCAGATATTAGAAGGATTATAAATGTAATGTTGAGAGCAATTTTTGCAGCAATGCTAAGGAGGTATCATCCAGAGGAAGCGGATATAAAGAAGACACATTACGATACGAGTATGATGATCATTATTTTATGACCGATCCTGAGGTTTTTTAACATTCTTTACCATTGTGATAATTTCTAGAGTGGATTCAGATTATAGCATTGAGAGGCAAATGCTCATTTCTTGCCTCATGCTATTTCTAGCTACTCATCTGTATTGCCAATTACTTCTCAGTAAAATTTTGTAGTTATACTTAAAGAAATATTGAGTGCTAACCACTTACTTTTACTATTTTGTAACACTTGGGTCAGACAAATTTTGCCAGGGTGTCATTTAAAAAAAGTAAGTTGGTCGCCAGCACCACCCGGATTTTTAAAAGATAAGTTTGCTCCAACGAGGAGTAAAAGGAGTATAGGCGCTTGGATATGAGAGCAGCAAAGTTCTGCTAAGTCTTTTTATTCCCAGTGCAGTTGGACAGATTGATTATTTGTGATTAGTGATTTCAATGAACAGGAAATTTTTGTCTGTCTTAATAAAACGATGTTATGTTAATGATCATTCGATTACATTAGATTTAGATGATGCGGCATTTCCATATTTTATAAATTTTTGATTTGTAAATATAATGCATTTATAAAATGGATTGGGTTTGATCGGTCCCGAGCATTCTATGGAATCTGCAATTTCTCTATTTTCCAAGTGTTCTTGCAGAAATAATTGTGAATAATTTTTAGGAATTTATCTATGAATTTTTTCCTCAAGATTCTGAGTGGCAATTACTACAACGTCCTATATCACTTCGCCAATTTGAATGCCTTCCATTTGTTCGTTCTTTATTTTTTCGCTACGGTCTAAGCTTTACTGATTCACATCTACAAGCAGTCGTTCAGGTTCTCAAAATTTAATATCTCTTTTTATTTTTTATGTTCCATCGCAAATTTCTAAGCCCTTCCTTCGCTAAGTTCGACAAGCCAATCTACTTATTTTACAATCTTTCAAATTTAATTAATTAATTTAATTTCAGGCTGATCGTTCAGGTGCTGCTACTATCTCCATAAAAATGTGCAGCGAAGCTTTGGATTCCCTTATATTTCACTATAATTTGAAGTAAATTTTGTGCTTTATTTATTTTTTGAGCATTTAACTCGCTTAGATATTTTGTATGTATTTGCAAAAGATTTAAACATAATTTTAATAGATAAACATATTCGAAATGCTGTTAATTGAGTCCTTAGGCATGATGGCCAAATGATTTGTTTTCTTTGCAAAAATCATACGTTATAGGTTTTCTCAAAATATTGCCGTTTTCTTGAATTTCCAGTGAAATGGTTTTACTAGCCATTTATTTTTTGGTGATGTTATGTGCTTTACTTTATCTGAATTATTTGAGGTTTACTTTATTTGAGTTTGGCGAAAATTACATGGTTTAGTAATGGAACTTGAAATATTTCATGCTCTATGATTTTCATCGAGTAAATATAATGACAGCGATAAGTAATATAAACGAAGTCCGAGAGCAGTAGATACCACGAAACATCGAAGGTAATTTTCGAAATTTGGAAATGGTCATTTCCACTATCGAAGCAAATCCAATATAAATAGTGGATGAAATCGCTGAAAAAAAATAAGCTATTTAGACAAGCGATATTTCATTATCAAGCCATGGGGAAATCAAAGAAGGATGGTGTTTGGGTTTCATATCAACATAGCGCACACGTTTCAGTGGTCAATATACATCACCAAAATATGTCGCTTCTTTTTAGATAGGTAAAGAAATCAATTTAGGGCAGAATTATTGTTATAAATGGCGATGAAAAGTGGATATTATGCGATAATCCTAGCTTTAAGCGCAAACTATCATTAGGAGAAATACCAGCGACAATAGCTAAACACGACATTCATGGGAGAAAATTGCTACAGTTATGTGTGCGTTGAGCTGTTGAAATCTAGTCTACCACTTTTGATGTTTATTGCAAACATTTGCAAATAGTTCAGTTGAAATCTCTTCGGAAACAGTGAATAACAAAGATGTAATCGACCAACAATGCAAGATCTCATGCTTGAAAAATAGACACGCCAGAAAAAATCAAAGGACTTTGTTTTGAAATTCATACCTCATCTTTTTCTTCTGCTAACAGATCTCTTATCATTACGGATTAGCTGCCTTTGCTGGCTACAAGAGTAAAACTTCTCCAAGTTGCTCGGTCCAACGCCATCGCTGGTAGTAATAGAAACCATTCCTTTTTCCATCGTCTAAGTCCATATATCGCTGGTTCTTCTATGCGTTCAAAATCTTTCCTGACAGGTGTAAGTCCAGTTCTTGATCGGCTCTACTCGCTTTTGACATCGCAGGGTTTAGTAAACTAAAATTGACCTTTTAAATATTTTAATTCAAATTTTCTTCGGCAATGTTTTTGACAAAACTAATAACTTCACTTCCTTTCTCTTTATGGAAATCCTTCCTTTAAAAGTGAAATCAAGGTGGTGCTGCGTTCCCATCTCTACTCCTATATTGTCTATTGACTCTGGCAAAGGGTTTTCATCTTAATAGCAACCAGCTAAACCGGATATAAGAAATAATATAATAAATAAATAGCATCAGGTTTGTAAGATTGGAACCAGTCATCAGGTCATTTAAAATTGATTTTAGCATCACATTTTTTTTAGATTTTATGACGGTGATGAAGCAGATACAAATGGCCATAATCTAAAACGATTTGTCATGCAATCAGTGGTGGCTACTTCAGCGATATTTCGAGTACACTGCCCTTCAACTAGGCCATTATTATTAGATATTTTTGCGAATTCGGTCTCACCGGGCCATTATTTGACCGGACAACCTATCAAATTTAAGAGTGTTTGCAAATTTAAGGTTCATTTTTATGATTAAATCATAAACTCAAATATAAAGGCTGTATATTATCAAATAATTTAGGTGGTTTGCGAACAATTGAATGTAATAATGGTTCCACTGCCTGAATGTGCCAGTGGTGAATGGGGCCCAGCTAAAGCATATCGGTTATTTGGCTTAATACCTATAACTCACGAAGATGCTATAATCAACAGTTCGCAATTTCTCGACATTCGATTTAAGTACATGGATTATTGTTGCCCACTTTTTCCTTGGCATGAAAATGTCCCAAACGCTCATTGAATATTATCTTTTATCTTTTTACTTTTTGCAGAATGACAAAAGCACTTGTGGAATTTGTCGTTTCACTGCATAAAAATCGTAAAGATGATAAACATTTACAAAAATATTGCCACACTTCGATTCGAGGCGACATTGTAACGATTCAAATCGATTTCCAAGATGACGGGCAGTATGGTCTTGATATCTACACAAGGTCTCCAGTCGTTTTCATTTTATTTTACTTCATTTTATCATTTTCCTTTGATATTAAGCAAATAAATTTAGATAGTCTGCAATAATCTTAAACAGGGATATAGTGGGAACAGGGATATAAAATTTATTCTGTTTAGATGGTAACGAAATATAAAAAATCGAAAATCCTCGTGCAATCACCTCATATAAGCCAACTGTAAATTTTTCTCATTCAAAGACAAATGAAAAATTTTTATTTTTCGATAATTGTTTTTTTTTCTAATTGTTTAATTCATTTAAGGGAAAGTTCATCACAACCAACAATTGGAGGAAAACAATTACTTACTCACTGTTGTAAATATCTAATCAATACTCGTATATAAAGAACGGAAAAATATGGAAATTAGGAAATATCAGTGATTAAATATCACAATGTTCCGATTAGATACTTTTACTTCTGCCTCCATACTGTTTAAATAAATGCAAATATTTTGTGAATACAATATAAATAAAACTCAATAAGTTAATAATAAAATGATGATTTAATGCACCAGGTTTATTTTTCTCCTCTCCGTCGTTTATTCATTTTATTACGAGGATCGTCAAGAGAGTACCAATCTTCAATTTCTTCTCGTATGTTTGCATCTTTTGCTTTACTAACAAACGTTAATTCTGGTGCGGCAATAATTTTATGAACCATCCTGAAATGAAATTTATGACGAATTACTTAAATCCTTCTGCATAATACTTCAAGAATTCGAGAATTAAAAACATAATGCAGGTGAAAATTTCAGATGTACCAGTTTCATATAGCAATTTTAAAAAATCCAATAAACTACTTATGAAAACAAAATTTACAATTCATCAAACTTCAAATCCACTGCATCATCTAGATCCAATTTTCCAAGCTGCGAATCACCTGCTTCTGCATTATCTGGAGCCGAGTTTATCGGTTCCAATGTACTGCCATCTGATTTTAATTTGAATGCATTGTCCGATAGCACTGGTTGAGCTTCATGACTAGATTCCATCAATTTGCTTTCAAATTTCTTCATCAGATTTAACGTCTAAATTTCCAATAATACTCTAAATTTGAAAAAAAAGTGAATTAAATTTTAAAAAAAATTTTCATAAAAACAACGGGAATAATAAGTGAAAAAGTTGCATACTTGGTCTTGTCTCCTTGGATCTTTACTTTTATGCATGGTTTTTGAAATATCAGTGAATTTTGATTTCATGGCCATATAAACCTTCATGGCTTCAGATTTCGGCTCATCTTCTGGCAAATAATATGAATGAAAAAAATCATTCTTCCACCTTTTTTAAAATCACAATCAAATTTTATAAAAAATAAAAAACCAAAAAATTGAAAGACAGAAAAAGCAGAACCTGCATCATTCTCCATTTGTTTTTTAGGCTGTCTTAACGCTTTGATATATGCCTTTTGCATCGACTTTACTTCAGCTGTTATTTCTTCTCTCAAAAATGATTAAGATTTCTAAACAGTCATTTATTATTTATTAAATAGTAAATAAATAATTAGATATTACAATTTATAAAAATAAAAAATAACTTGTGAAATAATATGCAAATAAAACTCGACCTCAATCTAAAAAAAATTATTTAATAGGATTCCGAATCCAAAGACAAAAATATCAAATGGCGTAAATTATTAAATTTTACTGAAAAAACGGTTTGGAAAAACTACATTTGAAATTACCTATGCGATGCAATTTAACCAAGAAAAAAAATTGCATTAATCTATATTTAGACAATTAAACCGTAAAAATGATGCGTCGCTTACAATTTTTTTTTTCTCTTCTCAAGCGTTTCCTGCTTAACTACATCATCCAAATCCACTTCGTTTTCGTTCTCTTTTGTCATATCTGCATTCATTTTTGGTCTTTTTTTCAAAAATCGCTGTCGAATTCGACTTAGTTCATTTTCCGATTCATCGGAATCAAGTCTCCTCTGAACTTCATAGTAATTATTGTTTAGATAATAGAAAATAGAGCGAAAAGTATAAAAATGTAAATAAATCAGTTTAATTAAAAAATTGAATTATTAGTGAAAGTAACCTCGCAATTTATCAACTGTTCTGTATCAACAGCTAATTCTTTGCTGAGTTTTTCATCGTTTAAAACATCATGAGCACTTATGCCTTTGGATTTGAACTTCTAAAAAAAAAATTTCAAAAATTTAACCAAACCTCAACCTAACATAGAACCTTATTAAAAATATGATAATAATAATATGATATACAGATAAGAAATAATTTATACCGCATTTGCTATAGAGAGTTCGTCTTCATCTTCCTGAGCTTCCATTCCGAATGAGAGCAATGAAAGATTTCTATAATTTTTATAATATTTTCGATGAATTTAATTTCGGAAATTGTGAGATATTTATGGAAAACAGCTACCAACAGCACTCAACACTCTTGATTTAGGTATTTCCGCTACTTTATCAGATAAGAATTATTTGACAGTAAAAATATGGATAATTGACACAATCCAGATTTCAAAACAATATTATTTAAATAAATTATATATCATCAGAGGATAATAATCAAACCCAATACTCCACACAACAGCGGACCATTCTGCCAAAAAAAAGAAAAATACTTCTTTTCTTCAGTTTTCTGTTTCTGCTTTTCTTTCGACTTTTTTTTCTTTGTCGAAATCCTCAACACAATATCTGAGAAAGGATTATCCAATATCTCAACGCGAATTATTTTATTTTCAATACAAGGTTTATCATCATGAAGGACTTCACATTCACCTAATCTTAACATGTTAAACAATGTATCACCGACAACCTGAAAATAAAAGTGAAAAGTCGAGAAAAACCACCCAAAAATCATTTTGAAAAAAATTTAAAAAAAGAAAATTACAAATGAGGAAATATCTAGTACCTTGCCAAATAATGTATGCTTTTTGTCGAGATCAGGAGTTGCACCAAGAGTGAAAAAAAATTGAGAGCCATTTGCACCATTCTCTGATGCCATTCCAAGCAATCCACGACGGCAAAATTTGAGTCGTTGGTGAAATTCATTCTTAATTCAACTCATTTTAGGGAAATTTAGAAATTTAAAGATAAGTATAAGTACATTTAAGCAGAAAAGAAACAAGATTTATAAAGAAGATGCATAATGAAATATTATCAAATAAATTATACCTTGAAAGGCTGTGAATATATACTTTCGCCACCCATTCCTGTATTCGTTGGATCACCTCCTTGCACAATAAAATTTTTAATAAGTCGATGAAATTTCGTATTATTATAATAGCCTTCCATACAAAGTTGAATGAAATTTCGACAAGCCAGAGGACATTCCTTAGACCAAAGTTCTATGTCAATAGGACCAACTGTCGTGTGAAGGCAAACCTATAACAAACCTTCTCAAACCATTAACTTCATAAAAATATATAGCAATGAAGCCAATCTTTAAATTAATGAAAATAAAAGATTTAAAAAAAAGCAATACCTTGCCAGAAGTTGCCGGTTCAGTTATGTAGATTGAACTCATAGAAAAATAATTAGTATATCTAAAAATTTTTTCATGTCACTTTTATCCATTTTACCCCATCATATATAGCAATATATTATTATATAATGTCACAGTTAATACTTTCTTGGTGCATAAAAAAGATGGACTTTAAGAATATAAAGAATATAAATGAATAAATGTGTATATAATAAATTTTTGGAAAATATTTTTGAAAAGCGATTCGAATTGCTCTATCTTTTCGGTGGAGATCATTGGGCGAAACTGTCTGAAAGCTTATCTGCCTTACCTCAACTTCTCACATCTCTGATGTTACCCGAGGTTGCGATTAACTATTACCGCTAAGCGAATGGTTATTACTTTTAGTTAAACTACTGGTTATCATTACGAAAAGAATTTTTTGCCAGACAGTCAGCTGAGAATAAATACAAGTAAGAAGTCAGCATTACTTTGAAAAAATGAAAAAAGCGAGACAAAATGAGAAAAAATTCAAATTCCTACCACAGTCTTTGCAAAGCTCAAAGATTTCAAGATGTATTCACAAAAGTGAATTTCGATTAATTCTCGAATGGTAGCATGGTAGCACATTTAAAACACAAAACTGCAAAGAAATCTCTTAGAAATAAATCAAAAAAGAATAAAAACAAGTAATTACACGATATGCAATGAGAATCATGCTACCATTCCCAGAACTAAACGAACTTCACTTCTGTAAATTGCGGCTGTCAAAATGAACCTGTGATGCTGTTTCTAAGTGGTGACAACCATGCCAAATATTCGTAACTTCTTTTTCCAAACCTTCAAAGTTTTCTTCTGGAAAATCTATAAGATTAAAAGTGGCTAATTCGACTAGTTAATCAAACCCGATAGAATAGTATGTTCGCAAAAATATTACTGGACCAAAGTATTTTCTTCAAAAAACAAAAAAATATTTAAGGATTAGCATAATACTGAAATTTATATCAATATATAAGCTAATATAATGTTTATTAGGATGAAAAAAGATACAATATCTACATTAACTATCCTGAAATAACAAAAACAGATAAAAAATGATATTAAACGAGATATGACCCTAAATTATGATTCATTTTAACTTTAGTAGAAAACAAAGGACTGATGATTAATCACAAGCATGAACTATTTTAATAAAATCTGGCTTGAGCGACGCACCACCGACAAGAAATCCATCAACATCTGGTTTTCTTGCAAGTTCTTGAGCATTTTCAGCTGTTACTGAACCACCATATAAAATTCGAGTTGCATTGGAAACCTTAGCCGATATCTTTTCTTTTAGGAATTCTCGAATCCAAGCATGGACCTCTTGAGCCTCAAATAAAATTGGATAAGGAAATAGTACAGAATTCAGGGAAAGAAAAAAAAGCGAAAACTCTTTATTATCAAATTTATTTCAAAAATTCAAATTTATCTCACTTGTTCCGGCGTAGCAGTTTTGCCAGTGCCAATGGCCCAAACTGGTTCATATGCGATAACAATTTTATTCCAGTCTACATTCTTATCAATGAGAGCTTGAATCTGTCTAAAATTTACCTGAAAACATATCCCAATGATAAACCTTAATTTGACATCATAAAATATCAAATTAAAAGGCTGAAAAATATTTAGGAAAAGGCAAACTTCTTTGGTCTTCCCAGCTTCACGTTCTTCTATTTTTTCACCACAGCAGAATATGATGTACAATCCGGTTTCTACAGCATGAACAACTTTTTCAGCAACAAGTAAATCGGATTCACCGAAAATATGACGCCGTTCCGAATGCCCTAAGATGACCCAATGCAAACCGAGATCCTTTATCATTGCAGGTGAAATTTCCCCGGTAAAAGCTCCTTTGGGTACCTATTATATAAAAAAATTGAATCATAAGTTTCGATTTATCAGATTCATAAAAAACTTCATTAATTACATAATTATAATTATATGCGACAAAATTTACCATCATCAAGATAATATGCAGCTTGCAAGAAGATACCACATCGCCTTTATTTCCTTCCCCTTTTCCTATTTCATTCCATTTCCTTTATTTGTAATATTGAGGAATGGTCGATTTTCACTTTTTAGTGGTTGCGATCAGTAATTTCTTTCGATTTCCAAAACAGTTTACTTTCAGCGAAATATGATCTTAGGTTACAAGTTATATAAAATAATTTGCTACATTTTCTTAAGCCATTACCACTGCGACAAAACACCATGTCTCTCCCTCACTGTTTGAAACCAAAGCCCATCAAAAAAAAGCCATTGGAAGAACAACAAAATGCAATCTGCAGATTCTTTTCCGTCTTATTTCTCCAAACTTAGGATTTTTTTTTTCCACTTTCACCTTCCATTCATCTTTAGCGAGAAAAAACTCCGTAACAACTCCGTTCGATTTAAACAATTATAAATGCTTATACTCTATAAGCATCAAAATTCTAAAAATTTCAATAAAAAGTAAAAAAATATCAAAAATAACTTTATGACAACCTATAGTAAACATATACCTTATATGCATTTTGCGCAGATATTTGGATTTCTGGCTTAACTTTATCTTTAACATAAGCAAGGTATGGAAACGGCGGTGCAACAACTACTTCCACGTTTGGTGAACAACAACTCTCGTTTAGAAATGCGATAATACCATCAATCATTTTCTATAGTACTTTTGAAATATAGCGAAATTTTTTCAAAAATCTTAAGTTTCGATTTGATTTTAAATCAAAATGAATTTTAAATTTAAAATGAATTTTAAATAATTAAAAAACTAATTTTAATTATTTAATTATTTAAATGATGATTTTTAATCATTTAAAATTTTCAAATACAAGTAAAAATCAAATGATTAAATAAAATTTTACTAAACTCGTTTTAAAATAATAAATAAAACCAATTATGCAAGAAAATAACAAAAAATGAACACCTTATCACCATTCATTTTCCAGTTGCCACCAACAAGAAATTTTCGGCTCATTCTGATCGAACAGAATATTTTAAATCTGAAGTCATTTTGAATGCAAAAATTTTAAAAGTTAAATAAAAAATATTTCGAAACATCAAATATATCAATTAAAGAAATAAAATCACTGAAAAAACATTTATAAACATTTATAAATTTAAATTTAATTCAAATACGAAACGCATGAAAAGTAAAAGAAGTCCGCCTTCCGCTTCGGAACTCGTGCAATCATTAAACCTCATTTCGATCAAAAATGATGGCTATATCATAATACTACTTGGGAAAAATCGATGCGAAATGGAGTAGCGATTGTCGTGTCTGAAAAAACTCGATCCATTCTGACTGAGTGGAAACTGGTAGACGACCGTATGCTTATGATCGTTTCAAAGGAAAATTCTGTTTATTTTTATTTCGGTGATAAGTGATTTGCTCCAATTTTATTTACAGATAACCATGATATAGATAAGTTCTATGCTTTCAACAACAATAATTGCCAACAATTAAGGCTTGATTAGGTGGTAATAGGAAACTATTCCACCTTCTTCATAAAATAATTATAACTTGGAGATGATCAGTGAAATAGTATGGGACAGGAAAATGCCTGTAAAGACTATTAAGGACCGTCTCATAAGAGGGAAAAAATTCTTTGAGGCCAGGTTTAACCACGATATATCATCTGTTATCATGGATTGATTCGTTCGTTAAGCTATACGTCTGCAAGCGCGAAACGCCAACAGAAGAGGAAATAATGTGCTATCCATAAACTTAAGTCCAATAAAACCTACAGAAAAAAATGGTCTCCGTACTGAATTATCCATCTTCAAATTTCAAATTCTTCAAATATCCATCGTCCTTCATAATACACCTTCAACAAATGTATTTTCCTGGTATGGAAGAAATAATACAAGATGAGCAAAGCAGTTCTGCCCAAGAAAGATGATAGATATCTGTGATAATTAATGAGGAATTAGCCTAAATGTTTTAGGCAAAATTTTTACTTTCCTTTTCAATATACTTAAAGCAGTACAAAACAGTAGAATGCGTTCTGACCAAGATGAATTTAGACCAGAATATGGTTGTAACCAGATATAAAGAATGTTGGAATATCACTTCAATCCATTACAATATCTGCTACCCATTATCACTTGGTTCACCGATTTTGAGATGTGACAGTGTTCCAGAGATCATTCGACTCATAAGAGCATTTCACCATCGTACGTCGACGCAAATCTGTACATATAGGAAACAAGCTCTTTCAATATATTTCCCCAACAATATTCAACTAAGCGATGAAATGGATAATGGACTTCATTTGTCGATATTCAAGCTATAAAAACCAGCAAAACCAGCCCAAAAACTTATTTAGCAAATAAGGCTAAATAATGTGATGTAGTGAGAATCGAACTGCACGTCAAAAACCCTTACTCCTTCAGCCTATTTTAACACTATTATAAACCTGTTCATAATCATCGGAATCTTCTAAAATGTCAGTCTCCCTTCCTAAAACCAAAAATTCCATCTCCAAAACCCATTCACATCCCCAAAGCAGCATCGACGACCCGCGGCACTGCTCGAACATTTACTTTCCACTACGACTTCAATACTTGCTTTTTTAAGTCTTTTATGCTTTATTGACCTCGCAGCAGTATTTCCCTACAAAGTTATTATTTCCCTTGACACCTTTTGCAGCCCCTTTGGACTCCTTCGACAAGCCAAACTTCCTTCCCCTCCCCCGTTCTTCATTCTTCCTTAACGCTGTTCATGCGGCTTATTTAGATTGTGTAAATGCTCTTCAAAGCCTTTTTAGTTCGATGAATTAAAAATGTGGAAAACCATTCAAAAATAATTTAATAAATTGGTTATGGAATTCTTTCAAAATATACAAAAATCTTTGAAAAAACGGTCATTTCTACACAAAATGCGAAAACACCTTAGGAAAACGGAGCCATTCAGCGAACATTGTTAAAATCAGAAAATAAATAAGAAAAATTCCAAAATGCGATCTCCAATACTTCGCAGCTGCACTGCTTACTTCACCGCCCTTTCACCTCCAATGAAACGAACCGCACCAAAATCAAATCCGACGAGAGTTTGCCAAAAACCTGCCAAACGCTATTAAAGTACCTCGAGAAAATAGTTTGCGTTATTAATTTGCGGATGAGTCGCAGAAGCTGCAAGAATTTATTTGTCGCCTCTCGTTTTACTCGGCTGATTTATTGGGTAAACAGCTTTTGTGGGCGCCGCGCAGCTGTCGAGGATTTTGTGGATTGTGGCAAGGTGAGTCTAGGGCTTTAAGCCTAGGAAGGGGTCAGAGGTCGAGCCTTTATAAGTGCCAGTCGTAGGTGGTGTCTCCATTTAAATTTTAGAGGGTTTTCCGCACTCACCATCGGCACCATGAATGAATTTTGAGGGATTTTAGCAATTTAAATGCTGCTTAGTCTTGCAAATTCCATCACCAATCAGTATTTTTCCCAGCATTTGCGATTTATTGAATAGTTTCGAAACCTGTAGCACTGCAATGAATAAATGTCAATTAAAGTTAATAAAACCGGTTAAATATTTCTAATCGTTTTACCATTATTTGGTCATTTTTTTGTGACTTTGTTTTGACGTAATTTCGAAGTTCACGCCAATTATTGAATATTTATTGAGTTCTAAGAAATATAGCAATTTTCGTGAAATGAAATTCGACTAAAAGTTTCCCGCAAAAATAGTTTAAAATTTCAGGCAATGTAGTTTGATTTACAGTAGTTATATTATTGATCTGATGCCTGTAAATTCAGCTCGAATTTCTCGTTTAGTCTGCAATCGCAGTTGTGGGTTTTGAATTTGACGGCTTCGTGGCTCCGTTCGTTGTTTTGCTTTTGTAGCGCCAGTTTAGCAGTTTTATTTTTGGAAGTTGCAGGTGGGAAATATGAGCCTTGTAGTTGTGGTTGTGCTATGGGTTCGGGTTCGCTATGTAGGAAGTGGGCTGCGCTCAGTCGCCCATCATGCTGGAAAAATCAGCAATGACTTCTGGCTTCTAAATAGTTTTAGATCCCATAGTGGGTGTCGACCTAACATTTGCCGGTTCAGTGTTCATTTCTTTAAATTTCCTTTAAGTTTCATAACACATTTTTATTTTTCCCACGAAAATTATGTTTTCTTTCGCTGAGTTTATTTTTCCCTAGAAAGTTTTAAGCAGATTTCTCGTGAGATTTTTGTATCCGCGTCGCTTTTTCCCTATAAATTTATCGTTTACTTTTCTTTATACATAATTCTTTTCGTATTTTTGTATTTTCTCTTATACTTTTGTTTTCTTTTCCTTCATTCCGATTTGTTCTCCGATTTCTTTCAGTTAATTTCTCAGGTTTTGCAGAGTTTTTTCTTTTTAACAAAGTGTTCACTTCTTTTTTACGATTGTTTTGGTTGCTTTTGTCACCTCTTTTAGGTTTTATGTTTTTGTGAATACTTTTTGTCATTTCACACTCTTATTTTTATTTTTTTTATTATCGGTTTATATATTTATTGTTGGTAGTTTTAGATAATTGAAGGGCAAAAAATGGCGGAGAAAATTACCTCGCCAAATCAAACCAGTTTCAGACGTGGATTTGTTAAACAGGTACTTTGTGGGGATGCAGTTGTTCTTCAGGTTTCTTATTCTCAAGAATTTATTTTAGATAAATTATAATTATATTGGATATATTAGCTAGTTAATATTGGTATAAGGTTATATAGCTTATAACTTTATTTCAAGCACAAGGATAACATAACCTGGGAGTATATTTAGGCTTAGGCTTTATTTTGCTTTTAAAAGTTATTTATTTGTACTTAAATTGGTTTGTCCTTGAAATTAATGCTGTAAGTCGAAGAATTCAGGTTGAAAATACGACGATTTGAAGATACGATTTGATTTGAAGATGTAAAAATTGAGAAAATTAATGAAGGAATAAATTAGTGGGAAATTCATGTGGTACTTACTTTAGGGTACTCCAAATAATGGACCTCCAAAAGAAATGACGGTTTACTTAAGCAATGTTTCTGCTCCAAGGATTGCGAAAAGACCAACAGAAATGGAAGCAGGAAAGGACGATGAAGTTGGTTTTTATATTTTAATTTTGTTTTTATTTTATATTTTGTAAAGTTTTCTCAGAAAAAAAGAAGTTTAAGAATTTGTCGAGATTTATTATATTTTTCAAACCTCGTTGTTTTTTTTCGCAAATTTATCAAATTTATTTCAGGTTTGTTGCAGATCATTGTTGAATTTTATTAAATTTTAAATTTTTCTTTTATAGTCTTTCTTATAGAAATAGATTAGAATAATGCATTGACTAATGGATTTTATTAGCCTTATGCTTGGGAAGCTCGAGAATTTCTTCGCCTCAAAATTGTTGGACGATCTGTTATGTTTAAATGTGATTATACGGCGGCATCTGGACGAGAACATGGTCGTATTTATCTTGGTGGAACAGGTTGTGGATTTGTGAATTTTCATTGCAATTTTTAATATTTTAAGTGCTTTAATTCACCTTAGATTTGAAATTTTCTTTCTTTTAGGTCCCGAAGATGCTGAAAATATAACTGAAACGGGTGTTGCTGAAGGTTGGCTGGAAGTTCGACCTGGTCGAGTGTCAGAGTATAAAAATATATATTATTTCGAGCATTTTTTGATCTTCTAGTTTAATTTTTTAGTTCGAAAAAATGAAAGGAAACTAATGGCAATAATTGATTGTTTTTTCTAAAAAATTGAATATTTCGAGAATTCCAATATTTTGTATTTCAGCGAGTATACAACAAAATTACTTTCATTACAAGAAGCAGCAAAAAACAGTAAAAAAGGTAGATGGGCTTCTGAAGAAGGATCAGACAATGACCACGTAAAAATTTTTTATTTTGCTCTGATTATCTTGTTTTTTTGTTGTGGTGCTTAATTCTAATTACATTTGAACTATCGCAGATTCGTAATATTACATGGGTCGTTGAAAATATGCGAGCTCTTGTTGATTCTCATAAACAGAAGCCAATAAGGGCAATAATTGAACAAGTTCGTGATGCATCAACTTATCGTGCTTTTCTTTTGCCAGATTTCCAATACATTACATTGATGCTTTCTGGTGTTAAGGTGATTCTTTAATGCAAAAATTTGACAAAAAACCGACTTCAAATAATAATTTTCTGCCTCGCCATTTTTAACTTCATAGATTCAGCAAACTTAAAAAAATTTTTTTTGTTCATTAACGAAGTGGATCATTTCATTTTTTCGTCTAAAGGCACCTGCAATTCGTTGTGGGACAGATGGAAAACCTGAGGATTATGCTGAGGAGGCAAAATATTTCGTTGAATGTCGTATTCTTCAACGTGACGTGGAAATTATTCTCGAAGGAATTTCTAATCTGAATTTCGTAGGATCAGTTCTCCATCCCAAGGGTAATATTGCAATGTTGCTACTCGAACATGGTTTTGCAAAATGTGTTGATTGGTCGATAGCATTAGCAGCTTCAGGACCAGAACCATTGAGAGCTGCGGAAAGGTTTTGAATTCATATAATAGTTGAAAAAAAAATTTGCATTGTCTTCAATGAAAGAGGAAAGTCGGTCTCTACCAGAGTTTTTTATAGTTTTGTGTGGAAATCAGCCTTGTCGTTTATAGAACAGCGAAGAATAATAAGTTGCGATTGTGGCGAGCTTATCAACCATCAAACAATTCTAGTCTTGATAAGAAAAGTTTCATAGCAAAAGTTGTGGAAATAGTAATGGGTGATGCACTTGTGGTACAGAAAGAAAACGGCGAAGAATTGAAAATTTGGCTTTCTTCAATTCGCCCTCCAAGGTAGGACTATTCTTATTCAACCATTGATTCACAAACTTCTATTTTATTTTATAGTTTTAATGAAAGAATTAAGGGAAGAAAATCGAGAAGCTGATACAAAGCTTTGTCGAACATTTCGACCTCTTTATGATATTCCTTACATGTTCGAAGCTCGAGAATTTTTACGTAAGAGGTTAATTGGAAAAAAGGTTCAGGTAATTTTTCTATTATATGGATGTTATTTTAAATATTGAATTATTATGTTTTTTATGTAGGTATATGAAAGTTATGAAGAATTTCTTATTTTTTTCTGATACAACCTCTTTTTTTCTTGATATTTTCATTCCATCGGTGGTTTTTAGGTCACCATTGATTATAATCAACCAAAGACTGATCAATTTCCGGAAAAAACTTGCTGCACTGTTGTTGTAGGTGGAGTTAATATTGCAGAAGCATTGATTTTAAAAGGACTAGCCAAGGTCGTCCGATATCGTGGCGATGATGATAATCGGTAAAATATCAATATTCTTAATATTTGTCAATATTTTTTCGAAGAGACTGAAATAAAATAGATTTGATTAGTTTTTCTATTTATATATTTATACATTTTTTATTTTTTGCAAAAAAAAATTTCTCTGTTTGCAGATCTTCGCATTATGATTCCCTTTTGGCAGCAGAAGCAAAAGCAGAAAAAACTAAAAAGGGTCTTTTTGCTGAAAAAGAGGCAGGTGATAAGAGTTCTATCGTAAGAATTCAAGAACTCTTAGGAGTAAGCTTCTTTTCTTGATTATTAATTGAATGATTTTTTATCATTTTGCGTTATCATTTTTCGCGTATTTCGCGTTAAGGATGCTCAAAGATCGAAACAGTTTTTACCCTATCTTCAACGTTCGGGTCGATCAGAAGGTTTGGTTGAATTTGTTGTATCTGGCAGTCGCGTTAGAATTTATGTGCCTAAAGAAACGTGCATTATAACATTCTTATTCTCTGGAATAAATTGTCCTCGTGGTGCTCGAATGGGAGCTGGTGGAAAACTTATTGGTGAATCCGAGCCTTTCGCTGAAGAAGCCACCAGATTTACGAAGTCTAAAATATTGCAACATGAGGTATATATTAATTTAAGGCCACCTTTCGAGATTAAATCCATTCAAGAATATTTGAAAAGATGAAAATGTAGAGAGGAATGGAATTTTTGTCATCATTATGAATCGTTTAAGGTCGAAATTGAAGTAGAAGGAATGGATAAAAATGGGAGTTTCATCGGTTATCTATTTGTCCAAACCGAAAAAGGATTAATTAATATGAGTGTGGAATTAGTAGAGCATGGTTTTGCTTCGGTTCATTTCACAGCTGAAAAAAGTAGCCATTATAGTCAGTTGTGTGCAGCAGAACAAAGAGCCAAGCAGGTTTGTTTTAGTTAGCATATGTTTTTATATATATTTTGTGTATATTATATAATTTTAGTATCAATATTATATTAATATTTAGATTTTATATATAGATTTTATAGATTTTTATAGATTTTAGTATCAATATTTAGAAATATTTTCCTGGATTTAAATGTAGAGATTTCAAAAATTTCAAAGATTTTTTTTTCAGGCTCGTCTTGGTATTTGGACAAAGATTCAAGAAGAGGATATCAATGCTCAAACTGAACAAGCCACTATAGCGAATATGGAACGTGTTGTGAATTATAAGAAAGTAGTTGTAACAGATGTGCAAAAAGGAAATCTGAGATTCGCTGCCCAGTGCGTCGATGATGGTAAAAAATTTTGTTAAGCCTTGCTTTTCTAATAATTTTACAATTTCTATGCTCGACCATGCTATAAGCTATAATATTATACTGCAGGCCCAAAATTGGAACTTATGATGAAGGAATTACGTGAGCAGTTGCGTAATAGAAATCCGGTCGGAGCCTATATGCCTCGCCGTGGGGATTTGTGTGTTGCTCGTTTCTCAGCGGATAATCAGTGGTATCGCGCACGTATTGAAAATGTGCGCGGTAGAAATGCTGAGATTCTTTATGTGGATTTTGGAAATGTATTTTTTAAAAATATTTTATGTTGAATATTTTTATTCAATTTTTCTTTGCTATTATTTGAACTCCATGTAAAATATACAGTCTAATTTAAATATATCTAATTTTAGAGAGAAACGGTCGACATTTCTTCTCTTGATGCTCTTCCTGTCGAATTTGTGAAACAACCAGCTGGTGCCAAAGAATACCAGTTGGCATTAATTCAGATTCCTAATGATCCGGATTATGCTCAATTAACAGATGCAGCACTAGAGCAGTTATTGTATGGTGCTCCACAAATTCTGGTTAATGCAGAATATCTAAATGCTGGCATCGAATGTGTACAAGCAGTTATTGAATCTGTTGATGGAACTGAAATAGATGTGGCAGAAACACTAATTGTTGGAGGACATGCTCTTGTAGAACATCGGCGAGAAGCAAGGCTTGCTACAATGGTCGGTTTTATGTAGCAGAATAAATTTATTGAAATTTGTGCATTAATAATAATGATTTTGCAAATAAAATTATGTGATAGAGAAAAACAGAGTTCTTTGCAAATTTCAATTTTCTAGTTTCGTATATACAAGATTCTTGGATTATTTCCTCAATTTTTTTTTGCAAAAAAGTAATTTTAGATGGAAAAATATGTTGAAGCTGAAAACTTGGCCCGCAAGGAACATAAAAATATTTGGGAATATGGCGATTTCACTGGAAATGAGCTCTGAATCATGTAGGATTGATCAAGAAATGTTAACATGGAAAAAATTTAACTTAAATCTATTATGAGTATTATTTGCAGTTTATAATCACCAATATTTTGTTTCTCCTTAAAATTTTTTTAGATTCAGTCAAAATTTATGGATTATATGGTAAAAGTCTTGCATTACTAATTATGATCTTTTTTTAATTTTTTCAAAATGTGCCTTAGGACATTGATCAATTATCAAACATCTTCTCCTGATTTTAAACGTAGAAGGTCTTCAAGGCCGATATTTAAAATGAAGCAAATTTTGCTATTTGTTAAATTTTTAATCTTTTCGTTTTTAAATTGTTTTATTATATTGTCATTTTTCACTTCTGTTATTTGGTATATAGATCATGTTTGTTGATTGTTAGCAGTCGGTCTGTTGTATTTTTTATCTTAATATTTATGAGGTCGGGTTTGGTACTTTTTCTATTTCCTTATCAATTTCATTTTCCCTTAATTCGAAGCTGTTTTCAACAGAAAATTTCTTTTTTCTACAATCTGTCAAAATTTCTATCAACAGTTTTTTTCTCTGAAAATCAGGTGAATTCAAGTCAATGGGCGATATGATTTGATTTGAAGTGATATCTTTCGCAATTTCGCTTAATATCATAATTTTCAAATTTTATAACTTTGTAGGTATCATTGTTTTGTGATTGATTGATTTTTTGATTGTGATTAAATGAATCAGATTGTATCGAAAAGAATTGTGATTTTTAAAAATTTTGCCTTTTTTTAACAAAATTACTTTTTGCCAATTGTGCTTTTATTTGCCAGAAGAAAATTTAGTTACAATTCGATTTAAAGAATTTAAAGAATTTAATTTATTCAGTGGTATTAACCATTTTATATACATATATGTTTTATATATGGTAGGAAGCAAGAACTAAAAATTAACACGTGTGACGGATAGAAGCGATCAAGGAATATATGTATATAAAATTCCTTTCTCATTATCTTATGTGGTATGGGTCATTTTCATCTTTAGATTTTTTATCAGAGGCTTGGGAGCTATCATAGTTCAATATTTTGAATGTTAAGAGAAAATTTAGTTAAATTAGTGTTCTTGTATTCTCTTTTGGTGTCTGATATTGTTCTTGAGATTGATTGAAGATGCTTTTCTGGTTTAATGTGCGCCTATTGCCACTGGCAGCACTTTGTCTCCCTCTCTAGTTCATCTATCAACGTCTTATTTCTTTGTTATTTGATATTGCTACATCCACCACTTATGCCGATTTCTGGTTCTTGTTTACTATCATGTTTATTGGCCTACTTGTTTGTCTGTCTGGTTAAGAAAGTCACGCCGATTTTGACCTTATTCTCCAAAAAGAATTTCCCATCTGGTCTCGGAAGTTTTTGTGCTGAGCAGTATACCTACCTTCTCAACCAGCTATGTGTTGTTCAGTTTTTACGTTTTTTCTTCTTTCGCCTTGAATTTTGGTGTAGCCGATTCTTACTTTAATGGATCTGGTATTTGGCATCTGTTTTTTCTGCTGTTGTGGTTCATATATTAAAAATCCCGTCCCATCAAACTGTTGGTGGTATAAGGTTATTCTTAATTTCAGATCCTTGGGACAAGCTTCCAAAGGGTCTGGCTTAGCCACTTTCACCTGAAAAATATAAATGTAATGAGGATTAGCTGTAATTTGAAAAGTTATTCCAAATTAGTCGATCCTATTAATACGTTGTTCCTTATATATGTATATATCCATACATGTTTATACATGTTTCTAGGCTCTGATTTTGGTAGAAAAAGTTTATGAATGGTCGTGAAGGGAAGTTAACTCACATTTAATTTTTTTTAGAGTTTCAATGAGGCCAGCAGGTCATAGAACTGGTCCTTTCAAGCAGGTTAATAAAAAACATAAAACTGGTAAGCATCGAAGTAAGAGTACTCTCTGTGCGATTGCAAAAGGTAGTTGTTTTAAATTTTAAGATTCAGTTATATGGGATGGGTCCTTTTAGGATTCCCTCGGAATTAAACTTACCACTGCAATCCAGATGGTAATGGGTATCATAGCTAAAATATTGATGCCTTTGTTTATAAAGGGTTTTATAGTTCATTTTTTTTTGAAGGTAAGTGTACTGTTGTAAAGCAGTATAAAAGAATTCGCGTAGCAAATAGTAAAACTGCTCGTAAGCATCAGGCAATTCAAATTCGCTTAAATAAAAAAAATACTGTTCTAAATTATCAATATGGCGTCGGTAGATCTGGTCAGCCTCCGATATTTGTTGTAAGTTTTTAAAACTTAATTTAATCTTCATATAGAAAGGATAACTTTTTAATAATGGTTTTTGGGAAATCAGAAATTAATTTTAATCCAAGTTTTCCGTTTAAATCTTGGAATATAAATTTTATTTTATTTTCAATAAATTAGAAATTTTTGTAGACTATTATTTCATTTACTCATTTATGTTCACCTGAACAAATTGTTGCATTACTTTGCTCATGCGATGGTTCTGCTCAGAAATATTCAACTTGTAAGGGAATTGTTAATTGTTTAATGTAAGGTTTTTTTCAATTACTGTTTTATATTTAATAAATTTCATAATTTTGTTTTTTATGAATATTTTTGTAATATCAATTTTTTTTTAGTTCATCACGATTCAAATGCCGTTTTATGTTTGCTGTTGTGGATTATAATAATTTTAATGATTTATTGTGTTGCATTAAAGTATCGGATGTTGTGGCATTTTTGTGGCCTTTAAATGAAATCGAACTTAATGAGAAGGAAGAACAATTTATGAGTGCTTTGTTGAGTCATGGCTTGCCGAGCGTCATCAATTTTGTACCTGGTCTTGGAACTCTCAAGACGCCTAAAGATAAGGAAGTGGCCAGGAAAAATATTCAGAATCTTATTTTTAAATGGTATAATTTGTTTTAATTTAGTTCACTTTACTCTTTATTACTGTACTTTTGGTTTCGGAGAAGATATTAATCACGTGGAACTCTCCAATATTCCAATCAGATTGACTGTATATTGGTCAGTCGCCGCTGGAAGAATTGGTAGTCGTTCTTGTTTGAACACTGAAACTGGTAACCACCATGGATCAGACCATGCTACGCTATGGTTGAGTTAAGATTCGTATAATACTCACATGCCGTAAGGAACAACCTAAGGCCCTAAGATCTTTAAACTATTTCAAATCAAAAGATCCTGGAACAATAAGCTCATTTCTAATTTCAACTGTATTATTAAAACATCTCAGTGAAATGAATGACATTTCTGGAACGGCAAATGAATACTGGTCCCAACTAAAAACATGCTTACAAAAGTCATACTGGGTTATACTATTAGGAAATGCGCTAGTTGGGTGTGGGAAGCAACTGTCTAGTTGTCTGGAAAAGTTGCCAAAGTCCGAATCAAGAGATCCTGACTATCGGGTGCTTCGAAGAATTATAATATAATGACACTGCAGGATAGAAATCAATATTGCTATGAAAAGTTTTGTTAAATTCAGATAGAGAAAATTTTTGAAAGAAATGACTCGTCGATGGTTTCAGGAATTGATGTTAGAACTTATAACCAGTTGAAAATATTATTATTTATTTACTATTCAAATAGCAATATAATAAAATAGTAAATTATAGTAAAATAGTAATAGTAAATTAAAAATTTAAAAAAAAGATGTTGTGAAACTATCACCGCCCATAAAACCAACATTGAACTCTGATTCTACGAATGAATCAAAAGATGAAAAATCAACTTAGAAAATGAAGCAAGTGATGAAAAAATTGACCCGACAAAACGAAGCAAACGAGAAAAAAGCTTATAATTTTATGATACAATTATATCGGAATTTCCGACAACTATTGGAATGATATGGCCTTGAAAATAAACGGCTTAAACAGTAGCTGATAACAGGAAACTATTTCGTCTTCTTCACAAAGCAACTATAACAACCATAACTTGAGAAAAAAATGATACTGTAATTAATAAGATGCCTGTGAGGGCTATTAAAGGTCGCCTCATGAGATTGGAAGAATTTTTGAGGCCATAGTTAACCACTATAATTTTTATCACGGATATAACTGATTCGCTGGTCGAGCTTTACATTTGTTCTGTAATCCATAAACTTTAGACCGATAAAACTTCCGTGGAAAATGGTGTTCAGACCGAAGTCTTCAAATGTTGTCCATCATCGTTGATAATCTTCAATAAATGTACTCTCTGGTATGGCAAAAGGAAATAATACCCGAAGACTCGAGAAAAACAGTTCTTTTTCCAATTTCTAAGAAAAATAACAGGACATCCGCTGACAATTAATGAGGAATCAGCCTACTAGGCTAAATGTCTTAGCGAAAATTTTTGCTTCCCTCTTGTTGAATAGACTCATGGTAATACGATATAGGAGGATGTTTCCTAAGCAAGCTGGATTCAGGCCGGGTGCTGACCATATTCACGCTAAGAAGAATGTTGGAATATCGCTTCAAATATCACACAATCCATCTTTTCTTGTGTTATCAATTTTGCAGATGCCTTTCATTCAACTGATAATGCAACGATCTGGAAAGTGATGGAATTTGACGGTGATGCAGAGAAGATCATTCGACTCATAAAGGCATTTTATATCATATCCCAGGACTGACCCTTTCAATATAAAAACTGGTGGCGATAGGCTGGATAATGGACATCGCTTGTCGGCATTCGATAGCTGTAAAAATCAGTCCCAAGCACGGTATCACAGGCCTTGAATACGGTGATTGTGTAGGCCTTTTTACTGATAGTTATGATGAAATGCAAATAATGCTAAACAATGTGTCGACAACCGTAATGAGAATCGTACTTCGGATTAATGTAAATAAATCGAGAGGCTTTTCATCTTATATACGACCTTATGAAATATCTTTTTATAAACTCACTTTCGGTAAGGAAGTGCCTGATTTTAAATACCTTGGATCTAAAACCGAATGGCCAGGCAAAAGACGAAATTGTAATCCAGATAACGATATCTGGAAATGTGTTTTCCGTTTGGCGAAACTTTTATGGGAACTGTTGCGAAATCACCATAAAGACGAAAATTCATATAGCTGCGATTCGCACGATCTTATTATATGGCTACGAAAAACAAATGTGGAGATCTTTGACGACTCTTGTCTAATATACATTTTGCGAAACCATTGGACGGATAAAATCGCAAATGATTGCATCTATCTTCGCTCAAATGTCACCTGTATTGTATTAATATTATCGCAGAGCGTCGCCTTCCTGGCTAGAGCAATTTTTCCGCCATCCACCACGGAAGTTGACGCATATCTCTACTTACCGAACCCTGTGATGTTTAGCGTCAAAAGCGAGGAGGTCCAATCAAGACCTGGATTGATACAGTCAGAAAAATTTTTAATGCATAAGGGAACCAGCGATATATGGACTTAGATGATGGAAAAAGGAATGACTTCTGTTACTACCAGCGATGGCATCGAAATGAAAAACTTGGAGATTTCTTACCCTTGTAGTCAGCAAAGCCAATCTTAGTAGTAATGGTGAGAGCTATTAGAAGAAAAAGAATATAAGTTCACTTAACCACTTCAGTTTAAGCTTCCTTATTTTTGTCTACTATTTTTTTTTAGAAATTACAAACCCTTTTTTTCTTTCTCTTAGCGTTATGTCAGTTTTATAGGAGTTTTGGTGAGGAGCATATAATACCATGTGATAGTGATAATGATGGATTATCAGCACTGCGCTTAATAAGCAATATGAAAAAAAAACCAATGAATATACAGTTGCAACGATCATATCTTTTTGTTGAAAATTATCGATGCTCGCCAGTGGATGTTTGTTTTACTTTTGTTTTATTATGAACATTTAGGTATATTTCGATCTTTGCAAGTAATAAAATATAATATATTAGTGTAATATAGTGAGCAAATATTACCTTTCGATTTGCACGATTTAAAAATTTTATATTTAAAATTTTTTATTTATATTTTATATTTAATTTTTGAGTTTTTAATCGTTAAGAGAATATTATCGAATATCATCCATTCCAATTTATGAAAGAAAAAAATTATTTATTGGAATCAGTCTTTGAAGATTTTTATACTTTATATTTTAATAATATTTTATTAATGATCATATTTTAATAAAAGTTTGATGTTATTATATATTGAAAAATGATTTTTTTCTGCGCTGCAATATGAAGAAAAATTCGCAAAAAGTGAAACTACTTTAGTTTAAGTCACCTTAATTTACATAAAATTTCGTTATTGCAGGAAAAAGAATCTTTTTCTCTTTTTTAGAAAGAACTTTGTGACTTGGATGTTTTTGGATATATTAGAGGGCGAGCTTTAAATGTTAACGATCTGGTTCATCTTCAAGGATGCGGTGATTTTCAGCTTAAACATATTGCTGTTTGCGAAGATCCGTTTTCCTTCAATGAAAAGGTATGTTGTTTTTTTTTTGACCAGAAAAAACACTTAAATTTCAGTTATCTGAGATATTGAAGGATATTGAAAGGATCTTGATCGATGAATGCCAAATTATTCTAAAACCTGATCCATTGAAACAACAATCATTACAGTCGGAGATTGAACCAGATCCTATGAATGCTGAACAGACATGGCCCGATGAAAATGATTTACCGAGAGATATATGTATATTTATTCCCAAATATTTTTTTATTACGGTTTTTTAGTTGTGAAATGTACTGAAAATATTTATTTGAATTCAATTAAATATTAAACTAAACTAAATTAAATTAAATATTAAATATTAAAAATTAAATTAAAAACATTGAACTAAATTTCTTGCTTCTTGGATAATTTATTCGCATATGATTTGCCTCTTTTTAGTTCTTAAAAGAAAATTACAAAAAATAGTGCCTGAAGGGACATCGGAATATCAAGCTGCATGGATTTTTGATGGCGGTGATGAATCTGAAAATAAAAATAGAGTATTCAATTTTCTATTGCTTTTAATTTTTTTGGCTAATCGCATTTCAAATTTCTTTTTTTGTAGAATGAATTGCAAAGTGATGATAGGAACATACAGGATTTTACTATGGAAAATGGACTGTTGGATTCAGAGCAAAATTCAGGAGCTGTAAGCTGTTTTTTTTGAAATTACGTTAGCGGCACAATTTTTTACTTTAGATATGTTCAGCTATTTAACTGTAATGATTAGGCGTAAAAATAAATATTGAAAACATATTTGATTTTCCAGTAGTCTTATTAATTTTTTTCATATCAGTTCATCATGAAGAAAGACCACAATTGGAATAAGATTTTCGACTGATTCGAGTCATTGTTTTTGGATTTTTCTTCAATATTTAATATTTAGGCTTCAACTGCAAAGGAATCCGAACCATTAGATTTAATGGGTACGACCTTGGATATGGATGATGTGGAGAAATATCGCAGGGAGCGCGAAAATGCTCAATTTCCTGATGAGATTGATACTCCTATTGATAAACCAGCTCGCATACGCTTTCAGAAATATAGGGCATTGAAGAGTTTCAGGTTTTGTTTTTTCTTTTATTTTAATGTTGTGGTTTAATGTGAATCTCATTCGCATGTAAATAGCATATAATCATCCTTGGTAACCTTATTGATATTAAATTTGTTTAATCACAACTTCATATGATTTTCTTCCTTGCAATTTATTCGTTAATGACATTCGATTTAGAACATCATTTTGGGATCCAATGGAAAATCTACCTCACTCGTACTCTCGCATTTTCAAATTTAGTGATTATAAACATTCTAAGAAAGTCGTCATGAAGTCTTCTAATGAAAACAACGAATCATCAGTTTCGCATGGATCTTATGTTATGATATCTATTGCAAAAGTGCCAACTCGTTTTGTGGGCAAGTTTTTTTTTGGAACTCCTAGATTTATAGAAATTAATAGTAGTTTATTTATTTTGCTGCGATGAAGTCTTCTAATGGAAATAGCGAATCATCAGTTCCGCATGAGATTCCTGGATTCTTAGAAATAGCTCATTTTGCTTTGTTTTTCTTTTCAGAATCTTTGGGCGAAAGTCCTTTAGTGATTTATGGCTTATTACCTCATGAACAGAAAATGTCTGTTGTTAATATGGTTTTAAGAAAGCATTCATCTTGTACTGTGCCTATTTTAAATAAGCAGAAATTATTATTTTACGTTGGTTATCGGATTTATAAAGCTCAACCAGTGTTTTCCCAACATACTAATGGCGATAAGTTTAAGGTAATATTTTTCGCAAATCCTATAAGGTTTCAGAGACATTTGCTTTCTGTTTCTTAAATATATCTAAATGTTACTAAATAATGAGAGTAATAATATTTAATTTACATATTAGTTGTAGATGGAACGTTTCATGCCTTCGAAAGGAAGCTTCATTACTACTCTTATCGCACCTATAACGTTTCCTCCTTCAACTGTTCTTGTATTCGCAGAAGATGATAAAGATCGTCATTTAGTCGCGACAGGCTCTGTCTTGGATGTTAATCCGGATAGAATTATTCTCAAACGTGTTGTTCTCTCAGGGCATCCATTTAAAATCAGTCAACGTACCGCGGTTGTGCGTTATATGTTTTTCAATCGAGGTATTTATTAGTAAGGATTTTTGAATTTCTGTTCTGATGGATATTTATTTTTAGCCAATTTTATTTTAACCTGAAGTTTCATTGAAAGCAATTTTTTTCAGAGGATATAGAATGGTTCAAGCCTGTTGAACTTTATTCAAGAGGTCGGAGGGGAACTATCAAGGAAGCTATTGGTATTTTTTATGAAGTGTTTACTTTCTAAATACTTGGAAGTATTTATAAATTTTAAATTACAAATTTTACAATTTTAAAAATAAAGCGTTATAATGTCAATTTGTTAATTTAAAAATATTATAATTCAACACTCTTTTCATAATTTTTTTTCTTTGCAGGTACTCATGGTTATATGAAATGTGTATTTGATCACAAATTGTCGTCAATGGATACTGTTATGATGAATTTGTATAAACGGGTATTTCCAAAATGGACGTATCAGCCTTTTCTAAGACCTTATAGGAGAGTCGATAGTATCATAAACAGTGAATATAATCAAATGGAAATTTAACTTATTTTTGATCCCATGAAGAATTTTCCATTTATATTTTTAATTCTCGATTGCGAATTTTTTATTTTTCATTGAATAGAACATTGATCCAGAAATTAGCTTTTTGGCTTCACAATTTTTTGCTAATTGTAATTGCATTGTTTTTTATTCTATTTTTGAAATAAAAACGGGAATTTTAGAATTTATTTTTTTTGTTGAAATGAATAGCACTAAATGTCGAGGTCGTGCTTCTTTCTACTGCTTCGAATTTATGTAACAACATGCAAATATGTATAGTGGAAACTGTAAGTGGGAAGAACAAAATGTTAAATTTTAGCTGGTGTTCTTGGATGTTCTGTTTTTTCGAATTCCAGAAGTCACAGATTTATATAAGCGAGAAGCACATGTGAATTATGGAAGAACATACAGAGGGTTAAATTGGATTATTTCAATTTCTTAATCTTTGTTTAACATTTTATGTGGCTAGACCATTTGTTTTAATTCATGTAAAACTGCAAAATTTGATTAGATTTGCTTAATGCAATTTTTTAAAAGAATGTTTCGAAGCTGCTCAACTGCGCCATTTTTTAAATCTTCTTAATGCGATTGATGAATCGGAATCGGATAACGTTGAGGATTATTCCAAGCGGAATATTTTTCTCACTCAGATAAAGGTTTCAATTTAAATGATATTTCATTTTGATCGTTTCATGGAAAGTCGAAAAGATATAGCTGATTCGTTAAGTCTAAAACGCTTTGACCTTTTATAGAATAAATGTGAGGAAGATGAAGACCTCGTAAATTATGTGCAAAGTGGTAATTTATTAATCGACAAATGCATTCTTACATTTTCATCGCTAGCAGTTGAAACAGAAATTCTTTGGGAACAAGCGAACAACGAGTATTTCAACACGTTATTATCATACGGCGAAAGTGGAGGTTAGTCTTATAAATTTTTTATTTTTTAAATAAAATTTTGAATATCACTGAATTTTGCGTTTAGTAAAAAGAGAATTAATTTTAATTAGTAAACCGAAAAGTCTTAAGCCTTAAATGATATGAATATCATTTCAGTTGATAACTGTGTCCAAACAGATGGCGATATAATCCAAATGGTTAGCAGTATACTGCCTTGCTTACAGCAATTGTTGGTATTTGTTAATCGCTGCCATGAAGTCTATAAAAACATTGTCCTGCAACTCTATAATTTTTTTATTCTTAGGTGATCTATTTTTTCTTTTATGTGTGAGTTTCAAAGATGGGTGTGGATTTCAATTCTATTTAAAAATTTTTAAAGATATTGAAATTTTCAAAATTCTGGAGAGATCACCTTCAATATTAATTAATTAGTATAGCATTTTTTTCAGCGATAATATTCTTGAACGTTCTCAGGATCGTAAATTTTTACGCGTATGGCGTTCGTTAGGTAATTTATTGGCTACGTTTATTTTCTTAGATCAAATAATTGTATCAAATCCATATTTATGTGCGCACTGGTCATCATATTCCAGGTTAATCGAGTTTTTTTTGTTTTCTTTCGATTTCTCATATTTCTTTGGTAGCTCGTTAAATCTAATGTTAATACAATCTTTCTGTTTTCTATCGTTTCCCTTTATTTCACTGCTTTTTTTTTTAAATTATGTTTAGAGCTATACGGTTAGTTTGTCACAGTCCATCACAGTTCGATGTTCAATCAGAAATGTTAAAACCACTACAGAAGATCATACATGAGATTGAAACACATTTATTGAATGGCTCTATTTTCATGGTATTTTTTTATAAATAATATAAATTTAAGGCTGAAATGCAATTCGAATATTTTTTTCATTGAAATGCTATTCTAATTTTAATTTTTCAAATTTATCATTTCTTAGAATTGTATAGAACAGACATTCGAAAGACGTTTGCATACTGATTCATCATTTAATGAGCTGATGCGATCTTCCATAATTGAAATGTACGAACGATGGGATAAGATGGCTTGTTAGTTTTACCAACTAATTTTACTAAAACTTTTGAATCTTTAACTTACAATTCAAGTATATATATATAAATTTTTTAAGTTCATAGTAGTAATATTGCAATAAAATTACAGCAGACGATATTCCTGATAGACAACGTATCATATTAATTGTTGCACTTACATCTTTACATGCAAATTTTTTTAAAGTCATAGACAAGAAGTTGGTCAGAACAGTTTGGAACTGCCATAAAAAAGTAAGCGAAATCTTAAAACAGACTGCTTTCATTTATAATTGAGTACTTCTCCGTAGAAAAAATACCGAGTTTACAAACTGTAAAACTATTAAGACTGCAAAATAGCTGAAAACCGATTCCTAAATACGTTTTATTCCGCAGATTATAGCACTACCGTAAAACAAAATATTTAGAGAATACTTGTGATTAAGCATAGAATTATGGTTTCCCACCAATAGATATTTAATGACAAACTTATTCTTCTCAAGATATTTTTTTTCATTTTTTTCAGATAGTTTTTTTATGTTTTTATATTCGCATTCATCTCATGGATTATTTAGAAATTGCAAATATTATTAAAAAGTCGATTCCAGCTGTCATTCTTTAATCTAATCGGGAGGATCATTTGGAGTCCTTGTGAATTTCTTTTGCACACGGTCAATGATATCGATAAAATCATCGATCAAAAGCTCATATCCGTTCTGCAAAATCAGCGTTTGCCGTTGTTTGCGCAGCAGTATGAAGCTCTACCTCGCGAATCACTTAATAACTCGGACGCTGTATGTTTTCTTTTGTTTTTCGTAAATCACGAGTGATTTTTGTGAATGCTAGTGTGAAAAGAAAATCTTGTATTTTTTATTTATTTTTTATATTTTTCAGATTATCGAATGGCAGTGCAAAATGGAAAATGAATTGCGAATTTGGCCAAATGAGGACTGTCGCAAAACCGTTTTGAACAGAATGCCGTTATTTTTCAAAGTCTCAAAACCTTATAAAATCTTATTCAAAACCTTATAAATTTTTTTCATTTATTATTTTTCTAATTTAAATATTTTTAACCATTTATTATTATTAACCATTAATTTGCCATAATTTTGTCAATTTTTAATTGTAAAAATTAGAAGAATTGACTTCGTTCATGATTTATATTTATATTTATAATTTTTCCTTTATTTTAACTTAATTTCAGCAGCTTAATTTCCTTATTTTAACTTACATGCTTTCAATTTTTTTTCTTGGAATTTTTTTTATCATTTCATGGTTTTAAACTAATATTATTATATTAGGTAAATTTCTTAATACTTTTATATTACATTTCTAGGGAGCTCGCTTGGCTGATTTAGCCACAAGATTTTTGAAAGATGTTTTAAATGGTCATATTTCGCAGCAGTCAGTGCTATCTCGAAGTAGTGCAATTGCTTTATTTCGACTTATCGAAATTGTCAAGGTGAACCAATTTCAGTTGACATATATTTCACGGACAATTTTTTTTTCAGTGAATTTTTTTTCAGTTAGTTGAAAAAATTTTCATCAAATGGTGGAATGAAATATTAGAAAGTTCACAATATGCGACTCAACAATGGACCGGTCATCTCTTTCGCATCATAAATAATTTTAAAAAATCTATTCGAATTGATTCGCATCTATCTTATCAAAAAATTGATTTAATGTCTGCATTAAACATTGCGGAGGGTATATTTAGCGGTCCAGGTATCGTTTATTTATCTAAGATTGGTCCAGGTATCGTTTATTTATCTAAGATTTGCGATTGAATATTTATTGTTTTACTTTTATCCTAACAGCGTATTATTATTCTTTTTTAAAATTCTCTTTTAAATCTTTTAAAAAAATTAGATTCTCTTTTATCTTTCATTCTTTTTCTTCAGTTACTCGCAATCGTCTTATCACATCCGGAATTGCTTTGGAAATGGCCTGTTATACAGTAAGTTTCATTCTTTTTGTTTTGTAATGTGCTTTTTGAAAATGGTTAATCATATTTCTGTCCCATTTTGTATGTTCCTTTATTAAAATCTGAATACTGCATTTTTTGCCATTTTTTTTTGATTTTGGCAGTTTTCTGGCATTTTGTTATTTTCTATTCAGGGAATATATTTTTTAATTTCTAGAAAATATTTCGATGGGTAGACGTTCAAGAAATTCATGATATCCTCTCGCGGATTGATACCATGATCAATTTTGGAAAAGTTGTTCACCGGGTCTGCGACTGCTGCTTTTTATTTTGGCATCGACCTATCATCTCAGCTTTTTTTGATTCGCTGATGGAAAATTCAAATGCTCGTATAGAGGTGTTTTTCTAATTTTCTAATTTTTATGTATAAAAATGTGTAATCACAAAAATATCTTTTTATTTAATGGCATATTTTATAAAAATTTATAATTTATATTTATAAAAATTTTTCTCACTTATATGTGAAAAAACTTGGTTATTTGAAAAATCAATTTTTTTAGTTGTTTTTTTCTGCCATTAATGATATTGAAAAAATCCTGAATTCCATTAATCATATTTCTTCGAACAAAATTCAAGAATTTCGAAATTCTATATTTTGCGATTTCGAAAAGGTTTTATTACAATAAATTTCTCATTTATTCTTTTTAATTCTGAGCGATATTGGTGAACTATCTCCTTTGCCAAAAATTTCTAATCCTATTAATAGCAGATAAGATAGCTTAACCAGAAGCGTAATGCTAATCATTATTTTTTCTTTACTTATTCTTTTTTACTTGAACGATTCATTAATTGACCGAACCTAACATCATTTTTCTAGAAATTCTTGTACAAATTGTGCGCAGCAATTGAAACAGATTTGCGTTTATCAATCCATTCGCATGTTCAACTGGATGATAAGTTACCCAAAAATTCTTTAACGGATCCTTATTTGCGTTTCAATGATCTTCTTTCGATGGCTCCAATACGTCTTATCGACCAGTTTATTGATATTAGAAGTTATTTTTTTTAATAAAAGAAGTTTAACTTCTATTATTTTAAAAATGATGCAGTCGTAATCTTTCGAATTTTTGAAAAAAAGTTGGAGCTCTTTTAGTTTTTTCTGTAATACTTATAACATTGATTCAATAAAGAAATATCAAAAAATACTCAATTTGAATATAATTCTTTTAACCACAAATATTTGGTGAATTTGTTTTTTTATATTTTTAGGATACGTCGAATTATATTTGGAACGAATCTTTTATAATCTTACTGTTGTGGCGCTGCATGACTGTTATACTTACAACGCAATGACGCAATTAGCTTTGCAAAGATACGGCCTTATTCTCTGTGAAAGTCGTTTGCCTTATCAATCTCTTCATCAAAGCCTGGATATTCTTGTAGTCACTCGACATTTACAATCATTTGTAGCTTCCTATAATTATAACTTAAATGGTCAGGTTAGAAGTGGCATTTTCAAATTTTTTATTTTGTGCTTGAATATAGTTGAGAACTGATTATTATAGCTGATTATTTGTTGATTCAAGTCTGTAAATTTAAGACTTGTGCTAGAGCTTTTATTGGTTTCTTACAATTTACGATAATTTTTTTTATTTTTCCAGTTTTTTACCGAAAAAGATAGTAAAAGTAAGGAATTAAATATTTTAACAGTTGAGCATATGTCAAGTTCAATACAGGCTCATGGAATGGGGATTATGAACACAACGGTTAGTCGGTTTTCAACACGAAGTTCATGTAAATATATTTTTTCTGCTGTGTTTTTATTTCTGTTAGCATTGTTATGGAATTGAAATAATGAGAGGCTTGGCATTGCTTTGCTAAAAATATTTTTCTTTTCTTCAAGCTAAAGTAGATTATAGATTATTCCAGAGTTCCTAAAACTATTTTAGTGGATTTAATAAATTTCAGATAAATTTTGCTTACCAATTTTTGACAAAAAAGTTTTATATCTTCTCACAGTTTCTCTACGATGATCATATTAAGGGACAACTAATTAAGGAACAAAGGTTTTTCGAGGAAAATGCAAATCAACTTAATAATTTGGTAAACGTTCATTCTCATCATTGATTAACAAATATAAAAAACAAAAGATTCATCTTTAATATCAAATATGGCTGCAAAAAAATGGTTTATAAAAAATTTATTATTAGGTTATGAGATTTCTACAAAATTACTGTTTTTGTGATTTTTTTCTTTTTCTTTTCTTTTTTATTTTTATTTATCTTAGTTTGTTTTTTCAATTCAAGCTTTTCAGTATCCGGTTAAGCGAGCTCAACGATTTAATGATGGAATTCGAAGACTCGGTTTAGATAGAGAAAATTTATCGTTTCTAGATAAATTTCGTATGTTGATCACACAAATTGGGAATGTCATGGGATATGTAAGACTCGCACGGTATTTTTTAATTTAATAATAGCTTTTATGTAGGTCGGGTTCTAAATTTCCCCTTTTGCTGATTATTATTTAGCCTCTTACACTTTTTTTATTTAAAACGCTCATCATTTTTAGTTAAGCTCGTTTCCTGGCTTTTCGGGCCAGTCAAATTCTAGGACTGACTTGGCGACAAAATTAAAAATGAGTTGTCAGCATCTGGATTTTTAAATGTCAAATTTGCTTCCAAGAGTAGTAATCTCCAAAATTAATAACAACTTACTGAGCCGCCCTACTCTTTCCTTGTATTTATTACTTATTACTTATCATGAATATTTTATTAAGATTTAATCAAGTTTTATTAAAATTTTCCGATTAATATGGTAAATTCAAAAGATTTTTTTTTGAAATACCAGATTTTCTAATGAAATCGTACAATATTGATTTTATAGATCTGCTGGAATGGAAGCCTGTTCTCAGTCTTTTTCATTTCTTCCGGAATTAGACGGAATTCCTTGTTTCGAAAATCATGTGCTAATCAATAGATTTTCCAGTGAGACGATTGAATCAGCTAAAATTCTTGACGATATCTTTAACAATGCTAAGCGAAATGTAAATCAAGCCAATAATTACCTTCAGGTTAATTTTTTTTCGCAATTCTTAATTTTGTTTCATTACTTAGAAACTTCCACGAATTTTTCTTTAACAGAAGCTTTAGAGTCCGTAGAGTCCGTAAAATAACTTGGAAAAAGAGATAAGGAATAATTTCCAGATTCTTATTGAAGTTTTCTCAAAAGAATTAAGAAATTTCGAGAAATATGATCATCTGAATAATTTTTACATGATTATTCCACCACTGACGGTCAATTTTACTGACTATATACTAGCTTGCAAAGGAAAATTGGGAAGACGAGGACAACAAAGTAGTACATTCTCGGATGATGGCTTTATTATTGGTACTGTTTTCCTATTTTTATTCACATTTGAATGAACGATGATTGCATGGCTTATCTTTTTTTGTTCTTTCTTTTTTTTATTTTATTAATTTATTATACTCCAGGTATTACATTTGTGCTTACAATTCTTAATCAGTTAGATCAGTTTGCCTCTTTGAATTGGTTTAAATCGGTAGTGAAAAGCTGCGATGATGAAATATCAACTACAATGCCAGCGAAGGGGTTAATGCGAAAACAACTTGAGCCATCGATTGCTCTAAAAATGATGAAGCTGGAGCAATATAAAATGGTGAAGTTGATTTCATAATCTTTTATAAATTCTATTTGATCAAATATCTATATTAAAAATTTGTATCCATTACATTATAAAATTTTTCAAGTCTTTTAATTTCTGGTTTTAGGAGTTTCAATTGCTGTTTTATACTTTCAATTCCGCCAAAATTTTTTTTCAAGCAGGTATGAAACCAGTCATTTTGTCCAATTCTGTTAGATTTTAGCAATTTAATTTAATTGATCAGATATGAATCGTAATAGATCTTTTAAAATCCTCTAAGCTATCATAAGCTTTCCATAAATTCCTATAAGTTGCAGCTGAAGAATAATGGATCATTTTTTTCTTGTTAACAGAGATTCATTATTTTGCTGATCAATGGATTTTTTTGATGAAAAATTATTAGAGCGTATATTGAGTTGAAATTTCTAAGAAAAATTTAAAGTATGAATTGTAATGAATTGTAATAAATTATGTATGAATTATAATAAAAGATTTAGTATATATAAACTCATACACGCAGTGATTATTCAGATTAGTTAATAACATATGAATGAAACGATAGAAATTACAATCAGAGGTTTAGAAAAAAAATGGAACAGTAATTAAAAAATGCAAAGTATCCTATTAATCATCAGTTTGGACTAATTAATGTGGAGAGCAATTATATTGATATCGCATAAACTAAAGAAAAGTTTCATTTTGTCTCTGCTCTAAACTTTTAAATTTGTTTCAAAAACCATCCTTTTCTTAAATAATTACTTGGAAATTTTAGTCGATTTAGAAAAGTCGATTAGTTTTAAGTGGTTCAAACTTATGTATAAGATTGCTTAAACGCACGATTACGCTAGTGACTGTTTATGTTTATTTGAGGCGAGAAATTTTACTTATTTACCATTTAACACCGAAAATCTATTAAAATCATGATTTTTGGAAATTTTGAACCTTTTAAATTGGAATAAAATTTCTGCAAACATTTTAAAAATTTCGATGAATCATTTTGCGGTGAAACTATTCTTTTTGTGGTTTCGGTGAAAAATATGGCTTCAATTTTTTGCAAAATTTTTTTCAAATTAAATCGAAATAGAATTGGTTTCATTGTTTTGAATGGTTATAGTTGATAATTTTCATTGAACAATGATTTTTTGAATTTATGATTAATGAATACATTTCGGAAATGAATAAATAAATAAAAGGTGAATGTTCATTTCTCAATAAGAAATGAATACGCCATTCCGAGTGACTGGTGGGGACGACTTATCCTGTGACGCTATCTCCAAGTGACTCTATGCTGAAAGGGTACGATGTTTTTGACATGGCGCCCGCTTCCTCCGACGCGCACCCACCTAGGTGGTACATGCGACAAGTAAACAAGTCGAGCGTAAAATGATCCCAAAATTCATAAATAAAATATGCTTTCAAGCCGTGACAATTCTGCTAATGGAAACGACTCTCTGCACACGCGAGGAAGTGTTAGCGGTATCAACGTGGAACGTCAGAACGCTTATGGATGTTGCAAGCCGTACACATTCACTGTACACATTCTTTCTAAATATCGTGTGGATCCCGCATGCTTGTCGGTTAATCTTCCCCTTCGGAACTCGAGCGATTTCTAAACCTAGCCTTGAGCAGAGGTATTGATTATATCATTGTGGTATCTCGCATAATTCGAGGCAAAATGGCGTAGCAAACGTAATTGTAATATCTGAAAAGACCGTGGTGAGGATAAGTCCTGAGCGGAACTTCAACTGCTAACAAAGTCTTTACTGAAACATAACATGGTCATTATCGGAGGAAACTGGAATGCGCATGTGAAATGCTGCTGCTGCTGTAACTTCAACAATTGGCAAATATGCATTGGAGATTCACTGGGAACGTCTTTTTCGCTTTGTCGAAGAGCATAAATTTTTTTGCTAATTTTTTACATGCTTCCGGTATTCAAGGAGATTGATTATATTTTAGTCAGTCGCCATTTGGGAGGAAGAGTTCCGTACTAGATGGTTGTTCCTGTCATTGTGAAACGGACAATCTTCATGGATCTGACCATGCTATGGTCCTTGCCAAGGTACGCATAAAACTGACAACTCGCAAGAAACAGATTCCCAAAATTTTTCAACTATCTCAAATTAAAAATTCGGGGACAGTGAGTGCATTATTGAAGCATCTCAATGGTACAAATAACTTTACTGGAACTGAATACTGATCCAAACTGAAGGGATGTCTCTGAAATTCAGTCGCTTTCACCTTACGGCATACTAATAGGTAGTGTGCTAGTTGGGTATCAGAAACAACTGTCCAACTGTCTGAAAACGCTGCCAATGCACGAAAATTCTGACTACCGGATGCTTCGAACAATTGATGCTCGAAAGAGAGGAGCACGGCGAGACAGAAATCACTTGGAGATACATAATCTTGAGAATGGAGGAGGTTCGATTAGGCGATAATAAATAAACTATTTCTCCTTCCTTCATGAAGTGGTAAGAGATAGAAATGGTGTGCCTGTTAAGAATATTAAAGATCGTCTCATAAGATATAAAGATTTTTTTGAAGCCAAACTTAACCATGATACGCCGCCCGTTATCTCGGATATAGCGACTGTGAACCGCCAACAGAAGAAGAAATATTTCTCCATAAGCCAATAAGCCAATAAGACTCTCAAGGCTGAACTCTTCAAATGTTGTCTATCATCCTTCATAACCCATCTTCAACAGATGTCTACCAGAGCAAAGCAGTTTTGCCCCAAGTTCCCAAGAAAGGAGACATCTATGACAATTAGCGAGGAACCAGCCTAGTAGATCTCAGCGAAAATTTTTGCTTTCAATTTTTGCTTTCCTACAATTCAATCATGGCAGTAGGAAATAGCAGGATGCGTCCTAAACAAGCTGCATTTAGATCTGGACGTGCTGAATAGATATGAAGAATGTTGGAATATCACTTCAAATATCTGCAACTCATTGCCGCCTGGTTCATTGATATTGCAGCTGGGGCTGCATCATTTCCTCTACAATATTCAAATATGCGATAGACTGGATAATGGACACCACTTGTCGGCACTCAAGAAATCAGTCCAGAATATAGATCTTGAATACACTGATGATGTAGTCTTTTTTACAGTTATAACGAAATGAAACAGTGCTAAACATCTTGTCTGCAACTACAGCGAGAATCGGACCCAGGGTCAATGTAAACAAAACGAAAGCCTTTTCGTTTTATATACAAGAAACTGATAAAATGCCTATTTTATAAACACATTGCGGCGAAATTACAACCCGGATCACTGCAGCTAGAAATGCGTTCTTCCAGTTGACAAAATCTTTATAGAGCCGTGAAATTATCATTAAAACGAAAATCTGCATCCATATAGCCATGATTCGTTCGATCTTGCTATATGGCTCTGAGACATGGTCAGTGAGAGTAAAGGACATTAAGAAGTTATCTGCTTTGACCGTTCATGTCTAAGGTACGCCGAGTGGATAAAATTTCACATAATCACATCCATCGTTTAAAGACCACTTGCATTAAAAGACCACATGTCCTCTTCGCTGGTTAAAGCAAGGGCACGTTCTTCGTTGCGCACCATCAGAGTTGGCACATATTTCATATTTTATTACTAAACGCTGTTACGAATGGCGTTAAAAGCGAGGTGGGCTAATCAAGACCTGGACTGACATGGTCAGGAAAGATTTTGAACATATATAGATTATAAGCAATATATAGATTTAGTCGATAAAAAAAGGAATGACTTCTATTATTGTGACCATGTAGCTTGGAAACGTCTTACCTTTGTAGCCAGCGGAGCGGCCTAACCAGGAATAATTGGGGCTGTTAGAAGAAGAAGGATATGTGGTTAGGTGTGCTTTGCCTTAGTTGGGTAAGAGTGGAACGTTCTCGAGTGGAATTTCTGCAGTGGCTGTGAACTGAGTCGGTTGGTACCATCTTGAGGAGGCGTGGTTAGGATTTCAACCTAATACAATTTGGTGACGACTGATTTGACTTATTTATAATGATATTTTTTTAACGAATTTTCTCGATTCGAAGGAATTTATTGAATTTTGCTGTATAAACTTAGTTTACTTTGCTTTTGCTATTCTTGATTCCGTTCTATCATTGAGATATTTCATTACAATAAAACAATAAATATTTTTTTAAAAAATTTGGTTAAAGGAGTTCGTGAAAAAAACTTAAAATTTTTTATATAATTTTTATTGTAAATTTTAAGATTTTACTTAATATATGTTTTAAAAATTGTTTTATAGTTTAAATTGTTTTTGCATTCATTTCCATAAGGAAGATTGCGTAGCTTCAGCAAATTTCCAGATATACAAAATTTATGGAGAATTCACCGCTTCAAAATCAAGGATTTTAAAACACTGATGTCTTCAGAGATGAATTAAACAAGCCGTTTTAACCATCTATTTTAGTGGTTCTCATTGTCCTTAGCTCAGAATAATAGTTCCACTTTATTTCTTTTAAGATTCATGTTAATTTAAGATTTAAGATTTAAGGTAACAGTGAAAGAACTTACATAGAACTTATAACTAAATGATTCTATAACTTCGCAAAATTTAAGAATCTTCATGATTTTGAATTCCTTTAGGAATTTTTCTCCATGAAACTTTAACAAAAATTCAAGAAATTGACAAATCAAAATTGAAAGATGTGAGTCAATCCTCTTTCAAAGAAATCTGAAATATTCGATTCCTATATCTGTTGTGGATGGTTTAGTGGGTTGTTGCTCAATTCAGATATAGAAAAAAAGGATTCCTTTTCTTTTTTCTATTAATACCACTATTGGCTTGTTGGCATCCACTGATTGCTATTATGGAGAGATTTCGTCAAAAAATTAAGAGACAAAAACATCGATGAATCCTTCTAATCAAAAATTTCACTTTTAATATAGCCTCCGTACCATCAAAACACATGTTTTCCTTTTTTAAGAAAGTATACAAAGCATAAATCGATCGCCTCAAAATTTTTCCAGTTTTCGTAAAAATGGTTCGGTCAAATCTTGCGTCTCACGATCAACAAAATTCGTTGAGCAAATTATAATCGACTTTCAAGCGATTATTTGACCAGTTTTTTCCTAATTTGTTCTATTTTACTGGATTTATATTTGATTTTCATGTCTCAATTATTTCTGTCATTTGTCCGATTTTCATTCCTCATCATAATTCATTATTCATTCTGAAGGATTTCTATTATCGGAAACTGGAGGTTTACTTAGAAATTAAGAGAAGATTGATTTATCTTTAGACTGATTGATTTAGAGTTTATGGATCCATCTCAGCAAGTGGATCAACTAAGCAAATGGTTTTTGGATTCAATTATTTATTTCTTTTCTTATCACTTTTAGTTCATTTTTCATTTTTGAAAACAATCACTTTTAGTCTTCAAGAAAGGAGAAATTATTCATGTTTTGAGGATTTCTATTGTCTAAACTTAGATTTCATCAAAAAAAATTGAATTCATTAATTTTGTCAAATGTTTTGGCATTAAAGTGGATATAATT